CTTAATCGCGGATCATTTTCAATCAAATCGTGACTACTCTTAATTTTCAAATTTGGGTCATTATCGGCATCAAGTTCCTGAGCTTCTTCACCAAATGATAGCAATGCAACGTTTCTGGAAATAATAACTGTTTTTAGATAAGTGATGATACTACAGAAGTCTAATCGAAAAAAAGGGGATACTTTTTTATTCTCTTCTTGGGTGGTTCCTCTTTCTGCACAACGGAAGCTGATGACTGCACCTTTTTTTCAACTTCAGAAATGCGCGGAATTATATCGTCGAATGGGTTGTACGTCACTTCGATAGAAGTAATTTTGGGTGGGTAAAGAGGTCTTTCGTTCTCATCCACTTCAAGCTCACCGATCTTCAGGACATTAAAAATTGTATCTCCTGCCACTTTTCCAAAAATTGTATGTTTGTTTTGCAATTCGTCTGCTCTATCTAATGTGATGAAAAATTGACTGCGATTATCGCTCTTCCCGGCGTTTGCCATTGCGACCAATCCTCTTCGTACGAATCTCAACCGTGTGTGGAATTCGTCTGCGAATGGACCTCCATATATTGATTCACCACCTATAAAAAATTAATGTGATGTTGGTCTAATTCATAGAGGATGTGATGGTAACACGTCTAACGTACCAAAACCAGTGCCAGTAGGATCACCTCCTTGTATAATAAATCCAGGAACTATCCTGAGCAAAAAATAAACGATTATTCCTTCTGGCGTAACGTTTGTAAACCACCGATTGCTATAATACCTATGAAAAATAGTTCCGTCATATTGTCCTTCCAAGGCCAATTGTACGAAATTTCGGCATGCTTTAGGTGTTTCCTTTGAGAAAAGCTCTATGCTAATATCACCTGCAGTTGTATGAAGGACAACCTTGCCACTAATAAACATAAAAAGTATGAATATAAAATTTACACTATTTTTCATTCCATCGTCGCGAACGCTGACCTGGTATGTGGCTCCTGAATGTATATATTGCTCATAATAAGCAAAACTTTTGCTACGTAAGTACGTAAGAATTAATCTTTTAATTTTTATAATTTTATGTTGTCATGTGACATTTTTTATTGTTACACGACGAATTGGTATTAAAAATTTACTGCTAGTAAGCAAAGTGAATGAAAACGTCTATCATGAAAAAACATTTTTTACTTTCAACTTTCTTGTGTTACTTAAGGTAAAATTTTTGAAATGATAATATGCCCTATTTCCGGACAGTTTAGATTATTTAAAATCAAATTTCCTTTCTTTCAGCCTTTTGATCTCTCACACTCTTACAGCAACAATCCCATCCCAATTTAATTCGATTGAGAATATTTCAAGCATACAGTCGCCAACACCTTCAGATGATCCCACCAGAGAAACCATAACTCCAGAGAATGGGCATGATAACTTTGAAATATCACCTTACTCGTGTCAACTTACCGGAGAGTGCACTTGTCATGCGATCGGAGAGTGCGAGCCTTGTGATATGGCCGAAATGGTAAAACTCGAATCGATTGATTATCGTATCGATTGGTGAAATTTTTATTGACTTGAAAAATCGACTTTTAGGAATCAGAGAAATACTGTGCAGGCTATGGGAATAAAGAACCGGTTGAGTGTAATTGGTCATTAAATGATCCACCGCATGGTAACAGTACGGATGGTAGTAAAGGCACACTACCTAAATTTCAATCGTGTAAGCGTGTTAAAAAGTTGGAGAAGATCAAATATTTTGAATTTCAGGTTTGTCATTATGATTGTTCATGGGAAAGGGATTTTGCATTTAAAATTACAATAATCAAATCACTCGCTTTTAATTTTTAGTTTGTAAACATGTTTGTCGCTTTCCTGTCGTGCGCTATATTAATTTATCGTAGACTAAAGCTTTCCGCTGATGGATATAGAAAATTAGTTAGCCGTATCGCGGGAAACATTTAACAAATCTCGGACATTATGTGGGCATGAGGTGTGAAAGACAAAGGCCTGGATAGGTGTAAGTGGAGGGAAAAAAATACTTCTATTTATTAACAAGAACATTCACAATATCATCTGCACTAAAAAGAAATGTCATATACAAATATATAGTTTTCTCAAATCTTCCAAGGAAGTATGATAATAATGTCAGCTCTACCTTAAACGAGTTGATGTGGTGGGTAAGAGAAA